GGGCAACACCTCCTTAGCTGCTTCAGATCCCAAGGGGCTGCCAACACCACGCTGCTGTCGCTGTGATTTCTCCACGATCTCTGCACTCCTCGGGCTTCGGCCAGTTCCACCTCCTAGGGTGAAAGAGACCTTCGGACTTCTTAATATCAAAAGAAACGGTATCAGTGGGAAGTCTGCTTGCTGAGCGCGGCCCGGATCAAACCGTGTTCTTAAAGGCTCCTGGAAGGGGTCAGGGCTGTGAGCCCCAGAGGACAGGCGCATCGCTCTGCCTGCGCCGGGATGCATTTGCGGGAGGGGAAGGAAGCATCGGCCGCAGGAGCCGAGTTTGGAATTCACCTCCCTGCCCCAGCCGGGGGAGAGTTTGGTCCCCTCTGCTCAGGGCTGCTCCCAGAAACAGTACTTGCTGATATTGGCTTACCATCCCGGGGTGTGTGGGGGGAAATTACTACGAAATGTTTACAAGGACCATTTGAAACCCAAGAAGAGGATGTTTTTAGTAATGGGGAAAGAGCCAAATACCTTAGAAGAGAAATATTCCAGCTTTCAGAATTAATTACCGCTTCCCAGTAATGCAGGTTGACAAATAACCTTGTGCAATTTCCTGGAGAGATACATTTTAATGGCAGTAATGTGCACAGACCGAGAGCAAAATACAGTTTGCTGAACTGTGACCCCCGCATGGGCAGACGCCTTCGCCCAAGCACTTATCCAGCAAAGCCCAAAGGACGAGGCAGGGGCTAAAGCAGTCGCCTACACACAGAGCAGCTCCCACCGGGAGGGCCTCCGGGTGAGGATTTCTCCTATGGATGGTTATTTTCAGTCAAGAAGAGAAAACATGGATAGTAAACAACCAAGGGCATCTTTGAAAACAGCAGCTGTAACGTCCGTGGAGCTCTATAATCACTATGCAAACTCGACTGTATAGCTTTTCAGTTGTAAATTAAGTATCATAGGCCAGTGAAATGGATGCTCAATTTCTATATCTTGTTTTTTCTTTCGGTAGTGTGGGAAGATAGTGCGTAACTGGTTATGCTCCACAATATTCACTGGCATAACAACTCACAACATGTGTTTGTACTTCTTTCGGTCAAGAGCATCAAGCAATGAATGTAGCAAGAAAACTTCATAAACCAATTATCTCAAAACCATTTTCAATAAAAAGGCATTGCTTTCTCCTTCTTTTTAGATAGTTGGAAAGAGGAGAGCGGCGGAAGAGCAAGTCTGAGAATCAGTGGGGTTTTCTGGAAGTCTGAGTTGTCTCTAATTACCCAAAATCCAAGCGGAGCTGCTGCTTTGTGAGCTGTGCTCTAACTCGTGATAAGCTTTTCAGGGACGTCACACTGAAGGTACCTTGGGCAGACAGCTCTTCGGAGGACTGCGGGTACCTCGGTGCAGCGATCACCCCCGGAGACACTGCTCCTAGAAGGACAACTGGCGTTGGATCCCGGCTTTAGGAGCCGCTGAAGAGATCCTGCGGTCTTACTGCTGGGAATCACCAGCGGTCACGTGCCAAGTGCGATAACCGCCGCAAAAGGTCAACTTTCCCCAACTTATTCCCAACCTATTCAGACCTTCCTAAATAAACAGCAGCTTCACCAAAAGCTATTGAAGTCCCCCAGGACTCAAATTATTTTACAGGAGGTCCAGGCATGGGCTGCAGGTTTGTTTCTAGTCGTCCATCCGTCCAAGCCTTGACCACTTTGCTCCCTGTCTGAAGCTGGAACCCAGCTCTTGCCCACGGTCCTTCTTGTCCACGGTCCATCTTGTCCACGGACCTTCATCCGAACAAACCCAAATGGAAACCCAGCATGGACCTGCGGCACTGACCATCGCGTGTGCCAATAGCCAAGTCCCTGTGCCGAGAGGCAGCGAGGAAGCAGCCGGGGTGCAGGCTGCTGGAGTAGGGCAGAAGGCGAGGGCACATCCCTAAAGCCTTTGGAAGAAAACATCCCTATCTCCGGCTGGGGATCTGCAGCTCCTGAACCGAAGCGCACAGAACAGGCTGATGGCAGCCGCTGTTTTATACTTCATGAAGCCTTAAAGCATCACTGGATGATTTCAGCCCAACATGGTTGAAAACAGCCCAGGAGGGGGGAGATGCTGATGTAGTAGAAGCCATAACAGCGCGTGATGCCACACACCTCCCTGCTTCTGAAAACCCACTTACCCGTCTTGTCGGGACATTGCTGTGATTGCGTTTCATAGCGGAGGTGGTGGGAGGAAGGAGGCAGACGCGTATTTTCCTCTGATCAAGGAGAAAGGCCAGGCCATGCCCCACTCACCCTCCTGAAGCCACCCTGGCCTCCGGGTGAAGGGCTTAGAGATGGGTGATGGCAAATATCCAGTAGGGAGGGCCTGAGTGCCCATGGCTCAAGACAAACAAGGCTCTGGAGCTCCTCTGCTAGCACTTGAGGGATGCTTTTCCCTCCCTGTCCCACTGTGCCCCTCTTTGTCCGCTCACCCAGGACCAACGAAAATGCCGGGGCAAAATGAGCTGGGGGCCAGCAGGCTCCTCCTGGGCTGTGCCCATCAGCTCGGGGTCACACGGGCTGAAAACTTCTGGGTGAAGGTAAATCTGTGCCAGCCGGGGCAAGTCCTGACAAACAGCTTAAATGCCTAATTTGTGTACCTGTACCCAAAAACGTTACCCAGTGTGCCCCAGCTCTTGGACTGGAGCCGGCTTAGACTGGCGGCCGGTCAGAGCGGCCCTTCCTCGCCGCCACGGGCATGCTTTAGCCAGCGACATTCCCCATCACATCCCCGAGGGGCCTCATCCTGCTCCCGACACGCGGCCGAACCAGCCCAACAGCGTGGGAAGCGCGGGGAGGGGACGGGAGGGTTTGCACCTCCACCTGAACGTGGGTGCCTACGTAAGGGGGGGCATCTCTTTAGGTTCTCCCCAGAGCAGAGATGGGGCAAATGACTGCATTCACCCTCCTGCTCCTGCCCATCCCTCCCCCTCGTGTGCCCGCCGGCTCCTGCCCAAACTCTTCCCCCCGTGCCGCAGCCGGGCCCCGAGCTCCTGCTTCGCCAGGGGCAGCATCCGAGGTCGGTGCCTGATGCTTTTCCCTTGGCCTTTGAGGACCACGGTGAGATGGGGAGAGGTCCGGGACCCGCTACCTGCCCTTTCAGAGTAGTTCGTGCCCATGTATGAGCTGGACACCTTCAGCAATTCCCTTAGCGAAACTCTGTACTGGATACATCGGTAGGAAATCCAGCTTCGTCTTTTCCAAAGACAAAAGCTACACTTTAAAAACCGTATCACAGCGGTAATTTCTCTTGGAAACAATTTGTTATCCCTGATTTCAGGACAGTGAAATGCTGCATAAATATCCCACTTGTGATTTTTCAGCTCCCCTTCCAATTTCCCGTTTCCCCCTGCTCCCCTCGAGCCCCCAGCCCAGAGCAACTCTCACAGCAAAGAAATATTTAGAATGGGTTATAAGCAGTACTTTGATTTGTCCAGGCTGTCGCCACGCTTTTGCCCTTCCGTGAATGAACTCAAAAGCTTCGGACCTGCTTTGCAGTCCCGGTTTCAGTCGGTTCCTGCAGGTCTGGAGCTGCCGTCCCTGGGCTCTCCCGTTCCCTTTGGTGGGGCAGCACAGCACCTTCAGCGAGGACCCACACCAGTAACGTGCCGGGACTGGTGCACCGGGCTCGTGGCCCTGGACGGGGAATAGCGCTGCCGGCACCCCACACCCCTACCCCGCGGTAGCCGGGGTCTCTGAGGCTTCCCCGCAGAGCATCGTCCTCAAGGCGCTCGGTCACCCTGCCCTCGGCGATCCCCGCCGGGAAGGTTTTGGTCTCCAGACGGGGAGCAGAGGTGGCCCAGAAAGCTTCGAGTCCCCGGGGTCAGGAACGACAGCGACCTGCCGCACAGGGACTCTCGCAGCACCTACCCCCCTTTCCTAACAAAAGGAAGGAAGAAAACGGCCTTTGGAGAGAAAATCTTACCGGAGTTGTGCTTGAGTGGGGGCAGCAAGTTTCCCCCTGTACAGATTTCTCCACTTCCACGCTTTCTACTCATCACGGAGCAAAGCTTTATTTTTTACCAATAACGTGCACGGGCTTCAGAGGCATATTTGAAGTGCAAAACCCACATCCCATGCTCAGACACCCAGCAAACAGTTAATAAAAATCATTCTAGTAGAGTTTAGAGCTTATGTGAAACAAGAGCCTACCTGTTTCCAATGGTTACAAAACGGCCCTGGGGAAGATAAAGATGTGATTCCTTTTAAATGTAGCTATTTTCTGTTCAGGGAACCTACGCATCAGTCCTTCCGATCACCCATCTCCGGAGAACGCAACAGCCATCCCACGCACTCCTCTGCTGCGGATTGCTCAGCACTTTGTCCCACGGTAATCTGTAGGAGAAACTCAACCCTCCTCTTAAACGCTTGGGGCTCAAAAGATTAATTCAGCGGGACAGATCCCTAAAGCACATCAGAAATTGGAACTCATTCCTGACAGCTTACCATCATTCAGGTGACTACAGGTGCGAGCAAAAGAGCAGTTTTGAGGGAGGAAAGCGACCCTATTATAATCAGAATTCTTACAGTTTTATATTTTCACATTTAATAGAGCTTCTGGGTTTTTTCCTCTCCACAGAGAGCTTTCCATCAAAGGCTTTCCGAGTGTTTTATAAAGGCAGGTGAGTGTTACACCACCATCACCCCCATTTCACAAACGGGAAACTGAGGCCCCAGAAAAGTCACCTGAGCAGCGTAACAGAGCAAACCCCAGCCCAAAACAGAAATGGAATCAAAACCTCCTGGCAAAAATCCCCTTCTCCAACTATCGCTATTTAGTTGCTATGCAGCTTTTTTTTTTTTTTTTTTTGGCTAAAAATAACCAGTCAAACAAGAGAGAACGGTAAGGAAATTGCAAGCTTCAACATACTTACTTCCATACTGCTAGCATTAGTACAAAAATAAAGATTTTTATTGACTAGTTTACAAAAATAAAGTCTATTGAGTCACACAGGATCTCATCGGCGGGCTTTATTTGACTTTGGAAGATAAAGCCTGTTTGAAACGTCTCTTTAGATCTTGCATGTTGGGAGATTTGGGCCGCGGGATGACGGACGACCGCCTCCTGTCCGTGCTGCCGGCGTGCTGTAGTTTGCTGACCTCCTTGCAGAGATACTGGAAAACGTCACAGACGCCTTGGGAGTCGTCACTCGTGGAGATTTCCAAGAACAGGCTGCCCAGTTCATTTGCGAGCTGTAGTCCCTCTTTGGCCTGTACTTGCCTGGCGTGGAGGAGGTCTGCTTTGTTCCCCACGATAACGACGGGAGTCCTGGCATCGGGGTGGACCTTGCGTACGTGCTGGTAGAGAGGTCGGACCGACTGGTAGCTGCTGTGGTCGGTGATGGAGTAGACCAGGAGGAAGCCCTCTGCCCACCTGACGCTCCTGGACAGGGAGTCCAGCACCTGCACGCAGTCTGCCTGCGCCACGACAGAGAGCACAGATTTGGCACCGGGCCGTGAAAGCGTAAAGCCTTATCCTAGACAGCACCGTTACACGGGTCCAGAGGGAAGCCTGAGCTCTGTCTTAGGACACTAGGTCTGGCCTGGTGGGAAGCTGGGGCTCAAAGGCTAAGCCTTTCGGCAGCAGAGGAGAACCGATCGGTGCGAAGCATCTCCGTACCTGGACGCACCCCGGCGTGTCCTGGATCTGC